TACAACTACAAAGTCAGTCATTGACCTGGAACCTAGGCTGTCCTAGTACCAGGTATACTGATGGGCATCCTTATGTTTGAACATTGTGTGGCCAAACTGCAACTTGCGCAGAAGTCCAATAACAGAACACCACTCGAGTTCAGATTGGATGGGCCATTCCTCCCAATCCCGCCACTTCAAGTCATGCTATCATTGCCAACGTGAGCATTGAAGTCCCCCAGCAGGACTATGGAGTCCCCAGTTGGAGCACCATCTAGTACTCGTCGCAGGGACTCCAAAAAGGGTGGGTACTCTGAACTGCTATTTGCTGCATAAACACAAACAACAGTCAGGACCTTTTCCCAACCCAAAGGCGCAGGGAAGCTACCATTTTCTCCCCCGGAGAAAACCCCAACAAACAGGCAGAGAGTCTTGGGGCTAACAGAGCTCTGTTTCCCGGCTGGGCGCCATGATCAAAAGCCCAGCCCCCATGGCGCTCGCTCACGGGCCCTGACCCCAGGCCTAGCTCCAGGGAGGGACCACGGTAACCCTCCGGGCCAGGTACTCTGACTCTTTGACCTCACTTCCATGAAGAGTCTTCTGAACCACATTTTGTCTCATCCTTCACCTTGGACCAATTTGCCATGGGTGACCCTACCAAGGGCCAAAAGTGCCCCAGACATCATAGCTCCTAGGATTCTTAGTGCACTCCAACTCCTCCACCATGATAAGGTGATGGTTCAAGGAGGAGAGGTGGTGGTTCAAGGAGTGCAAGCATGTTAAACTAAACAAAAATCCCACAGCACTCTAAATGTAACCAAAAGGGATATCTACTTCAAATACCGATATATGCTGGGTCATTTTAAGGTGCAGTAATGAGAATTTTACAGACAGAAAATCCCAGAAGAGTCTAATGTTTCAGTCATTTTGAAAGGAAGGTTAGATTGAAAGATATTTCATATCCAGCTGGCTGCTGGATTATCAGTTTTTCTCCTTTCAAAACAAAGGAAGGAAGAACGTAACTACTGTTTACCATCAGTGAGCGTATGGGGTTGCCATGTCTCCTGGGAGATAATACTGCAGCACCCACAATTGTAATTTGACGACAGCCGGCAAAAAGCTCCGGTTGTTTAAAGTGGTTGCAGTAACCACATTTTACCACAGGATGCCACTTTTACTTCATTTCTACATAATGCACCTTTTAAAAAGAAAAACATCACTTAGGTTGCTAACATCACATATCTCCATATCTTCATGCATGCTTAAGCTTTAAACATTATCAGTGCAAAATGAGAACTACTTCAATTTAAGTTAGTAATAAAAAATTGTCATGTTTAATTTGTCTCCAACAGCAGCTGAATGCCCATTCAACTAAGTTACCATTCTCCTTCAGATGTTCCTACTAATGCTCTGTGATGCCTTTAGGCCTAAGATAATTATTAAGTTCATGATGGGAATACGTTTGATTAATAAGTTAATAACTAGTACAAGAGAATTCATGATAAAAAATGTTCAAGTGCTTTAGGTTTTGAAAATGGATCAAATGGTCCCTGTTATAAACTATCTTTGTTATACTGTTTGTGTGAAACGTGACAGAATGTGTGCTCTTAACTCAGTTCTTAACTCAGATGAATCACTGACGTAGTTCCATTTTCTCTGGAAACCTCTGGACTTTGTGTTACGTCTTACATTTAGGCAAAACAAGAGAAAATACAAAGCATGAACATGCTGATTTTGTTTTATACGTTCATGCCTTAGAGAACATTTGTCTTTGTAAGCATTGATTTGTTTAAGGAATGTTTAGTTGTGTGTTAAAGTTACTTAATTGATAAAAGGTAAGCAGTGTGAGTGTACTGCTAAGCGTGGCGCTAAGACATCTGTAATAGTCACTAATGTATTTTTTCTGTTTATTGTAGTTATGGTGATAAAACATTTATAAAGATCATCATTTAGGTAAAGCAAGCCTTGGGTGTAGATTCATGTGTTTGTTTTAGTTGGTTGTTTGCTGGCTAGTTACACACAGCTATGCGCTCTAAGAACAGCGCATCCTCTCTACTCAGGGCAAATTCCTAATTATTCGCAAGTTGTGCCAAATAAAACTAAAATATCACAAAAACTAAACCTCAGATCTACATTTTGAGAGAGAGAAAATTAAGCTGAAGAGTTTGATGGGTAATATGTTAATGGTATGTTAAAGTTGGGTCACTAAGGCGTAAAAAACGATTCCAATATTTTCTGATATTATATTTGAAGGTCAGTATTGGCCAATATTGGTAGACCGATAACATTGGACATCCCTAGTAGCTTCACCAACATTAAATTCAAGTTACCAAATCTAAACATACAAAAACTCAAAGCAAGTAGACCAGCGTGGAAGAGAGACTGCTACAAACAAACAACGCTCCTTGAATGTCTGATAAAAGCTCCTTTATAATGGGAAAAACGCTAATCCCGGTGATTTCCTTCATCTGCGATAAAGACGAAGCAGCGGCTTTGACCCCGGAAGTTGTTGTCCATTGCCGGGAAACAGAGGCATGCCAAACAGGAAGGAAATCTAGCTGAGAGTCTTCGGAATGTGGCAGAGATGTTAGTGGAGGTGGAGAAAAGGAAGGACTAGAGGAAAAGCAGGCAGAATCCTCCCTACTCTATTTACGGACCCCTTCTAGAAGAAGAAGAAGAAGAAACAATCTCTTATACAGCCCCTCTCCAGATAAAAATCATGAGGTGCTTCAAATGAACATAAACTAAAAATAATTTAAAACACTAAAGATTTAAAAATTGTGTGTGTGTGTGTGTGTGTGTGTGTGTGTGTGTGTGTGTGTGTGTGTGTGTGTGTGTGTGTGTGTGTGTGTGTGTGTGTGTGTGTGTGTTTCTGTTTGTGCGTGTGTGTGTGTGTGTGTGTGTGTGTGTGTGTGTGTGTCGCCAGAACTCTGAAGCGGGGTGATGTGGGTGTGCTTTGAACAGAAGCCGAGCACAGGCATTCTGAACCACCTGTAGACGGTTCAGGGAGGTTTTGTCTGACTTTGGGAACCAGCTTGTCTGGGTCACAGATGAGGACTTATCTTCATTCAGCTGAAGAAAGCTCCCAGCCATCCAGGTTTTGATAAAGTCTAAGCAGGTGTGTAACAGCTGCAGCTTAGACATCTCATGGGGCTTAAAGGGGATGTACAGTTGGATGTCATCTGCATAACAATAACGCCGACATTGCTTTGATATTGATGATTTTTTAGAATCAAGTTGTCGTCATGTCGCTACAGTCCTTCTAAAACTAAGTAGTAGGGTGTTTTGCACTGTGTGGACCAGCCAAATATCACCACCATTGTGGAAATATCCACATGATACAAATTAAAGTCAAAATTTGTCCACAAGAACACACACAGAGCTATCTTCAAATCCATCGGAACAAGGTTTGTGGGGTTTTTGTGTCCTCCAGTGGTACTCAGACTCCTCTGTGGTCTTATGGACATGGTTGGAGAAACATGATGCATGGTGAGGTAAACTGATACAGAAACTTGTTTTTGCTCAGGAGTACATAACTGACTCAAATTTAGTTTCTCATCTATTAGCCCATTCACAGTGTCATTTGTTACAGGATAATGGTGCATAAAACAGCCGTTGGTCTCTCAGTCCACAACGTGCTGAAATCCTACACAGGTACTCTCTCTGGCCCTGCCTGACACATATAAATACGGTGTGCATTTTGAAAACAAGGATATGCAACATCCCATGTTGTTTCCTCGGATAGCTTAGCTTTGTCGTGCCAACAGGAGGATCATAAATTGCTGGACAGGTGATTTAGTATTCATCGTAGCAGCGTGATGCTAATGATAAGATCGTTGACATTCTGCGCTCCTCTTCTTACCAGCAGACCTATAGATCCATCTCTATAGGCCAGAGACCTGATCAAAGCCCAGCAGCTCATTTGCAATCTATATCTTTGAGACATTATAGCGCATGGCGGGGGGGGGTTATTGCCCTGTGTTATTAACTCATTAGACCTTAGCGCTTTGATGCACAGCCACTGCCTGACCTTCCCTCTCAGAGAAAATTAGCTGTGTGACATCACAACGCTCCAGAGCAGCCGTACAGTCGGGAACATCCAATCACACACATTTACGTTTTTAAAGCTGGGTAGGATTTAGGTGGAGGGGAAAAATGCAGGTAATTAGATGTTTTCGTTGAAATCATATCATGAGCAACCATGCTGGAATGCTGCTCTCAGCACATGGCCACTTCCTCTACACACATCTCCTCACGCTGCTGTTGTCTTCTATATTTTTCTCCTCAATTCAGTCTGTCTGCTTGTTTCTCTCCATCTTGTTCTCTCCCTAGACAGATAAAAATAACATCCTCTGTCTGAGGTCTACCCACCAGAATTACTTCTGAGGTAATCGGCTCGTCTGGGAAGCACAACTTCCAGGGCTCAAAGCGAAGAGCAAAAGTCAGAGGGAAATGTGTGGATGTTATCGTGCAATTCCAGATGGTCATTTGGGTGATAACAAATGGTTCAGCTGGGCAAGTCCCACAGAGATGAAAATCTTACACACGCATTTACGAATCTGTCCTGGCACAAAAACAAAAATGAAATTAAGGAGTTTCTCCGTGCAAATACAATGAGCAGTTGACTGGTGGCTTATTCGATCACTTAATCATAACCCAGGTAGCTGCTCAGGACGCATTAGCATGCTAATGCGGCCGCTGGAAGCTGGGCACTCACACTGAGGCTGCATATCCTCACCCCAAGATGTTCTGCACCCATGCTCATGCGGCGTGTGTGTTGGTATGAGTCCAGATCTCGCGTGTGAGCTTACCTGCTCCCTGCCTCATGTCAGAGCTCTCCGATTCCTGTCAGCGTGTGAAAAAAACAAATTCCTGTTCCCGCTGGAATGGTTTTTATTTGAAAGCGTAAACAGGTAGCAGTTATGGCCTGCCTTACACGTTTTCATTTACCTCTGTGATGTTGGTGGTAGATGTGGCTCCCTGGAGCCCTCACGCCTCTTACTGACACTTTCTCTCATCAGGAGGTGATGCAGATGGAGCAGCAGCTCGGGGGTCGACTGATTGACGAGCCTCACGTCCTGCTTTTCAAAGACAGCTACCACAACCTGCGCCTGTCCATCCATGACATGCCCCAGGCGCACTGGAGGAGCAAGCTGCTGGCCGGGTACCAGGTGCGTTGGGTGGCCCTTGCGGGGCTATGGGGCCGGGGAAGTCACTTCGGATCAAAGCAGGAGAACAGTAATGTCACTCACGTGCCTGACTGGATGTCAAATTAGTGTAACCACAGGCAGGAGTTCTCAATCGTTTTCAAAAGTTATTTTGAATTAGCTGTTCAGGGGAATTAAAATCACTTCATTTAGAAGTTTTTCAGGAGCAGATTTTTGCTGATATAGAGGCTCGTTACCTGCTCGTTTCCGTGGAGATTAGTTTCCTTTTCAGTGAGGCTACAGCAGCTTGGTGTAGCTCCAGGTGAAAGATGCAGACTGTTTCTGCAGAGCTCCTCCTAAGATGTGTTGGCATGTGTCACATCTGTGTGTGTGTGTGTGTGTGTGTGTGTGTGTGTGTGTGTGTGTGTGTGTGTGTGTGTGTGTGTGTGTGTGCGTGTGCGTGCGTGCGTGTGTGCGTGCGTGTGTGTGTGTTGCTGGAGCTGCATTGTACTCTAACCAGGAGCTGATTGATTAGACTACAGTAGCTGCTGCATAGGGAGCTCACATAAAACAGCAGAACAGAAGTACTGTGCAGCCTGAATTTTGGGACCGCTCCTCCTTCTGAGTCCACTTTCCAAACCTGCACGGCCAGCACTACTGCAGCCCAGTCACAGCAACACAAGGTCTATTGAAAGAGGACTGGAAAGTGTTCTGGCTGCAACTGTGTAAGCAGCGGGTCCCTGAAGAGCAGGTGGGCTGCGCCAAGCTAGGAGGCTGCAGCAGTGCACCCAAAGCAGAGGATTATTTCTCTGGACTGTGTCTGTTCATTTGGAAGTGTTGTTCCCCTCTCAGCAGCACAGTCAAAAAGGCCGTTAGTCTCCCTGGAGCCCCTTGAAGACATCCATGCAAATCCTGTGCAGGAGGTCTGACTAGGTAACAGTGCCCCCATTTGGTTAAGACCAAGCACTACAGGTCCAATTTACTCTGAAGATGAGGTCTTGTTAGCAGCTGAACCCAAAGTAAAGCGGACAGTTTGTGAGCTCTTTCTTTACCTCTGTGTTTCTCTGGAGTGATGCAAATGAGTTATGAACATGCAGCAAGAGAAATGAAGAGGCTGAACCGGTCTGTCTCTGGTAAATCCTGCCTTCTGTCTTCAGATGTCAGTATGCTTATTCCTTAGCATGCTTCTTGTCCCAGTGAGTGGAGTTAGCCGTATCTAAACATAGAAAAATAAAGATGTGTAATCTCATAAACTTGAGTGTAATACCTGCTGTTTGTCAGCGACCACACGTTGATCCCTTTTGACTCACTTGAATGCCGTCAGTCGGCCGCCTCGGACCGACATTTCTCCCTCCGACTGTGCTTGGTGTGAACGTAATTAGTGACCATCTCGGTGCTGTTGCTCTGACTGTGCCGTGGTGATTTTCTTTTCTACAGGAGATCCCGTTCTACCACATCTGGAATGGCTCTCAGCGGTACCTGCACTGCACATTCACTCTGGAGCGGCTAAGCCTCAGCACCTGCGATCTCACCTGCCAGCTGTGCGTGTGGCAGGTGGAGGGGGAGGGCCAGAGCTTTGCCCTCAACTTTAACATTGCCAAGGTAACACTCGACACAGACCGCAGCCACTCTTAAATCTTTTTTTTTCTTTTTGTGGAGAATTATGAACTGATGTTTGTTTGTTTGTTTGTTTGTTTGCTTTATTCCCACCAGGACACTCGAGCTGTTGACTCTGAGTTTCTATTAATGGACAGTAACGCCACAGCTCTGGCAGGACCAAGCGCCTTTCAGATCCCATACCTCATAAGGCAGAAGATCTGCAGCAGCCTGGACGCCCCTTGTCCCAACGGAGCCGACTGGAGAATGCTGGCACAGAGACTCAAACTGGAGAGGTAAGTAACACCGTGGTAACCAGTGACCACCGTCTGAAAGCAGATCATGTAAGACCCTTCATCGGGTGTGAAGTGCGTCCCCGTGTTTAAGCGTTTGTCCTCAAGTTCAGGTAAACAAGGTTCTGCCTTAGCAGTCTAATCCTCTTTCGGCTCTGCTAACTTCATGGAATTAACGTGGACTTGATGGATAGAGCTATCATTCCTGTTGGAAAACATGGCCCGCTCTCACCCTCCCCTCTTCAGAAACAGGTAAGCAGCTTAAAGTCTGCTGCTAAACTTCTGCCCACGACGCCCTGCTTAACAGCTGTAATTGGAAAGGCTGCGAGCTAGCTGCCCGTCAGCAGCAGAAAAAGATGGAATGGGTTTGGATCCGTGCCGACCTCGGACCAATTAGGTTCTCTGTGTTACTGTACTTTATCACGTCTGCGTGTGCAACAGGGGAGCGAAGCATCGATCCTTTATCCTCCTATTTCATTTCTACCCCATAATGAAGTCAAATAGGAACGCTTCATTTGTCTAATCAACTTTATTTACCCCAATTAATTACAAACGCATCTGACGCACTGCAGCTTTAATTAGCTAGGTTTTGTTCGACAAAATCAATTCTCGTTTAGGTGCGAGGGAGGAACGACTTCTTTGTTGTTTGAGCTGTCCTTTACAGCATGTTTTCCTGAAAAGGCAGCAGCTGCTTGGCGTTCTGTCATTTCTGTGATGGTTTTTAACTGCATAACGCGTTTAGACGTGAAGAACGAGACTAATCAATACAATTTTAAATGTCAAGAACCTTTTATTTGATCTTTCTCTCCCAACACTGAGCGAGGGGCTGTGTCTGAGCCGTGCACGATAAGCTGGTGTTTCACGCAGAGGTGAATAAGCACCGCGGACATGTTGGGCGCTATGCTCGCTCTCCTTTTTTATATCTGAATGATGACACCAAGGCTCATCTCCAGACACCTTTTTTTGACAAATGCTTGTTTTCTTTATGGAAAAGTGGCCTGTGCTGTTTAACCCAGCCGGCTGGAAATGGCAGTGTTATCACAGCCAGAGTGGTCACATGTTTAAAACCATCACAGACAGCTCCAGACAGAAAAAGCCGACTCAGAACCTTTCCAAAGATGTGAAGGTGTGTGTGTTTTGTCTGCGAGGCCCGGGTCCTTTGGAGAACCGAAAAAGGCCATTATGAAACGATCTTGGGGTGTGCTGTGGGGATCAGGTCCCACTCAACATCAAATACACAGCTAGACAGGGCCAACGCTATGATGTCGTTGATTGGGTTTGATCGAGAACGGAAAAGGTCGCTACCGTCTTAACCGTGAAAGTCGATTTACTGTACCAGATTTACGGGCTGTTCCAACATCAGATCAGCAGGACTGAAGGTTTTGTTGTTCTACTTCCAAATAAAAATGGCAGCTGGTTGTTACAGGGTATTTTTTTGTTTGTTTTGTTTTTGCTTGAGCTCATCATTTTGGGATATAGAAATGAAACAGGCAACAAAAGCAGACACTGACACAGTTACAAGCTGCAGCTCAGTTAGGTATCAAGATTTCCACCGACTCTTTCGCCGCAGAGGAAATGGAGAACTGTCTGTTCTGATGAGTAGACGCTGTTGGAGGGATGTTACGGTTCCTGTGGTAAAATCTCTTGCAGTTAGTTTCAAATCCTTTTCATTTGATTGTAAGAGTAATCTTCTGATTTGAGATGGCAGAAGGTGCACCAGAGGTTTATTGAAGCCTCCAGAGAGGACCTGGTCTGCATTGTGGATGGATACGTTTGTGGGAGGACCACCTCTCCTCTCCGTCTGCTCATCTGACAGGACAACAACCCGTGTGATGAGGGGAAACTCGTCTAACAGAGTCTGCGTTTACCTGCTATGTTACAGCTAATGCAAAGATGGCTTGTTTACTTGGAAGAAGTACAATTTTTTTTCTATAGCGACGCTCAAAATTAAAATCACAAGGTGCTTCACAAGAACAAAAAAAAAGATTTTAAAAATCATAATAAAAATGTACAAATGTTTTCATACAAACATGTGATGGAAGTAATGAAATCATTTAAAAAAGATACGGGATCTCTGGAAAGTTGGAAATGGTAGAAACAGCAACAAGAAGAGAAGGTAGGTGAGAAAAATGAGCAGAAAGTCACTAAAGCCAGCCAGAACAGCTGAGTTTTCAGCTGGGGGGGGGGGGGGGGGATATTTTATTTGAAGCTGGACGCATCATGTTTCCATCCTGCAAGTTTCATTTTTGTGGATTTTCTCATACAGCAGGTGGTGAGCTCCTTGTTTTCCTGTTGTGTGAGGAATAAATTATGTGAACATAGTTTCTGCCAGTGATGATAACAACCCTGTGGTTAGCTCATGTTTCTTTCTCCTCTCACTCTGGTTTCTCTGTAGACACATGAGTTTCTTTGCATCCAAAGTGAGCCCAACCTCTGTGATCCTGGACCTGTGGGAGACGCAACATTTCCATAGTGGCAACATCAACCAGCTGGCTGCCGTCATGGCCGACATTGGCAAGCAAGAAGCCATGATTTTCCTGGTCTCCGATGGCGACTGCTAACCCAGGACACAACAAACATACACTGGCAAAACTACAACAGAAACAAAAGCGCTGTCCCAATGTCCTGTTTTTTTTTTATTATTAATTTTTTAATTTTTTTATTAGTCTTATATGAATGTTCGATCTAAAACAGAGTCCCTTTATCCCTCAAACGGTTGAAATCTTCTGCAGAGATGGCAGAATTAGGTTTTTTGGGGGAAAAACAAGAAACACAACTCTATATTTTCCATCGAAGACTCATCCACTCAACTAAAAATCCACCTTAGTTTTCCTCATGGCTGTAAAGAAGAAATATGCAAATGTGACGTTTTAACTTGATTCCTATAATCAGTCTGAAATTTCTAAATCTTGCTTTAAAGCAAACCGTGTCAGTCGTTTTCAGTAAAAGAGGAGAAAAAAAGTGAAATATGCAATTTGCAGGTAAACGTGACATTATCTCCAACACATTCTCATGAACCCAACCGCACGTTTGTCATTTGTGTAAATAAATGATCTGTTGAACATGTAGCACATTCTGTAGGTGTAGATTTAAAACTAATTATAACTCATCTCAGCTTTGAGAAGGGAGAAGATCCGGCTGTGTTTTCACTTTAGTTCCTCTCAGGCTTCGTGGTGTTCTTCTGTTCGACATTTTACAGCTAATGAAGGAGCCACAGCGCCAACGGGCGTTTCTGTGTGGACACTGAATGTTATTCAAACTCATTTCTTAAAATTACTTTTTCCCCCATTTCCTGTTTCATTAATATTCCAACAGGGCCAAAAAGAGAGGGAGGCTATTACATGAATAATGTAAAAGCCCAAAACAAATTCTTCAAAATTTTTGTCATGTTGAAAGTAAGGATGCTCCGGTCGAGTTTATTGCTGCCAATCACCAAAAACGTTCACGCGGATCGACCATAAATTTGCTACGTAGTTGTAATGAGAAGGGTGACCAGATCCCAACTCGTCAAATGTGGGACAGAGACCACTTAATGTGGGACAACGTGCAATTCCAATGCAATGTAAATAAGTAAAAAAAATCTTTATGCCTATTAGCTCTAACATCACTGTCACTCTAATTATTATCATCACACATTTCATGTAGCCTGCTGTATATTCTGTTTGAATTCAGTTTGAACAAGCAAACAGCAAAAGCTTTCAGACCATTTCTCAGTTCCTCTCCAGCCACCACAGCTTAGCTCAGGCCGTTTGGACCTTCTACAGTGGCTCTGAATAATTTTAGCTAAAATTATTTTAAACCATCAACTGATCATCAAGGCTCACAAAAAAAAGCAAGTTTAAGCAGCTTTTCGTTAAATATTTTCCACAACAGAATGACAGTAAAAGTACCAGCAACTTTTTTTAGATCTATTTGTTTATTTTAAATTAATTTTCCACTAAAATAAAAAATATATACATATATCCATACTTTGTTTGCCTTTTTTTCTTCTTTTTAGAAACAAAATTGTTTTTCAAAACTGACAAAAAATCTCTTATTTGATATTTAGGGAAGAAGGGACAAAAGCATCACTGGTCTATGAAAAACACCTGATCTGATCTAATAAATAGAGTTCCTTAGAGTTACTATTTTCAACAAAATTGTGAGAAAAAGTAATAATGGCATCAGTTTTATTCCCTCATTATTTCTTTGGGCTTTAAAAGGAGTTTAGCTTGTACGCATCGAAAACAACACAACCACAGCACCTTGACTGTTACAACCTGCTGTGGGTTTTAGCATGAACTTGTCCAATTACTGGGAAACCTGCTTTTGACCAGCATATTTTGTGTGACTCAGACTTTGTGCTCCATTTCATATCGGACTCCACACCGTGACACAAAAAAGTTGACTCTGAGGAACATGACTGACTCTAATCAGACACGTTTAACCCACGAGTATTTATTCTGACAGCGTTTTCTCCATCACACACATCTATCCACCGTGCTCACTGACGCTTCTGCTTTTAAAGGCTTGGGTGCACACTCCATGCACTCCAGACCTGCGTTAAAGACCCGCCTCCTGGTTTGACAGCAACGGGCAGCATTCTACACACACGTTCATGCAAATTTGCTGGGCATAAGTCTCAATTTACGGGACGTGTGAAAAGTAGTGAAAATGCGGCACTGTCCCGCACAAAGCGGGACGTCTGGTCACCCTGATAATACAGACTACACGACTACATGATCACCCTAATTTAGACAAAAGCTTTCATTTTTTTATTTTTCAAGAGAAAAAAACAGACTTGCAGCATGATCAGTGTGTTTGTTTCTGACCACAACTCCTATGCCTCCTCCTCACAACCCGAGTTTTAGAACTGGAAGAGCCTCTAGAATGAGAGGAAACATCAAGATAACCATAAAAGCCAAGCCGTTTGAAATTAAAACTCTCAAGATGATCAAGTCCAGAACAACTGAGAATCTACACCAATGTGCAGCACAAAGCAGCAACAATTCAGTCCAAAGGAAAACTCCAACACTTAAATGTAGCTGCTGTCAGTGACAATCTAAAAGATTTAAAACATTAGAAGCTCTGAACAGTCTAAATCAGGGGTCACCACCCTGGTGCCCTTGGGCACGAAGGGTCCCCAAGGTGCCCTCAGTTCTGTTATAAAAGGAGCACAATTCACAACTCAGATCTAAAATATTATTTTTTAATCACACTTTCTGTGATTAAAAACATGGCAGCAGAGTTGGCTTACATACAGGTGCTGGTGATGAAATTAGAATGTCAATATAAGTTGATTTATTTCAGTAATTCCATTCAAAAAGTAATTCGTATATTAGGTTCATTCATTACACACAAACTGGTGTAATTCAAGTGTTTATTTCTTTAATTTTTGATGATTTTAACAGACAACTAATGAAAATCCCAAATTCAGTATGTCAGATTATTACAATACTGTAAAAAAGTTCAATATTGAAGACCCTTGGTGCCACGCTCTGATCAGCTAAGGAACTCATAACACCTGCAAAAGCCTTTAAATGGTCTCTCAGTCTAGTTTTGTAGGCCAGTGTTTCCCAACCTTTTGTGACTTGTGTACCCCATTAGTCAAAAGTACGACGTACAACTGGAGTCCCACAGGCTTTTTGGCCTGGCTGCCCCAGATTTTCTAAAACAATAATCCCCAGACTGATATAATTTTTTTCACTTTATTGATAATCACAATAATGTTTATAATTTATTGATGCAGATCTGTGCATCATTCTGTAGATTTCACAAAAGAAATTTATGATTTTCTTCCCTTAACAGAATTGACTCTTAGGGAGCATACAGAGTATTCTACACAATAGTTAAATAGAAATAAAGAAATGTGTTTGTTTAATTTCTTATTTGAGTTATCAGACCTTCATTAGTGTCGTTAAATGTATATTTTGGCAAACGTCCACCTACTTAAATGTAGTCATGCTTTTCCACAGACTGCAGTGTTAGCCTACAGGCCAAATATAAATAATCCACTTCTGCTCTTGAGCATCAGCAGTGATACTCATAAACATTTAGATGGGCCTAAACTGTTCTGCTGTTGGGTTAAAAAGCAGGAATGTGACTCGTTAGAAGGAACCAGGAAACAGAGAAAATAATCCTGACACCCTAACTTTATAACATTTGTTTTAAACCTGTTCATGTTAAACCTGTAAAAAAACATCATTTCTTTCATTTATCTGCCCAAAATCATGACTTTTTCAGGAAACACACCGATAAGAAACGTGTTAATATTACGGATATATTTAAAAGTAGCAACGTTGTCGCTTGTAGTAGCGTCAATGTGCAGCCGAGCGCTGTGTGTTCTCACGGCAGGGAAGCGCTCAGCCGAACTGAGTGAAATTGGCTTCCGACCCACATCAGAAATCCATGTAAAGAGAGTGGTTTGTGCTTTCTGATGTGGGTGGGAGCGAACTTCACTCAGCTGCTGAGGCTGGTTAGTGAGACAGGCAGAAATGTGCATCTTGAGCATAGTTTTCCTCTAGTGTCGGCTCATTAACAAAAACTCCGTCATCTCATCATGTTTTAGTCACGAAAGAGCTACTTTTAGCTTGTCAGCATCTTGTTTTCCTTATGGAAAAAGTGGTGTCAACAAAATCAATTCCTCATCATTTTCATTCATGAAAACAACACTGCTCTGGAGCCAGGCCTGGAGGTGGGGCATGTCGGCAAGAAACTCATGGCAGGATTTTTTTCCTATAGTCTTGCCGAGCACAGCCCAAAAAGGAAGCATGGGTTCCCCCATCCAAGAGCTCACTACTCGTGGGGGGTGACAGTCTGATCCTTGCTACAGAAGCTGGCTCTCGGCACATGGAATGTCATCTCTCTGGTAGAGACGGAGCCTGAGGTGGTGTGCAAGGTTGAGAGATTCTGACTCTGTACAGTCGGACTCACCTTGACGCATGCCTCGAGCTCCAGAATCAGTTTCCTTGGGACACACTACCACTCTGGAGTTACCCCAACTGAGAGGCTCTGAGCAGGGTTGGGCATGCTAGTTGCCCCCCCCCCCAAGATTGGTGCCTGTACGTTGGGGTTTGCCCCAGTGAACGAGAAGCCTCCCTCCGCCTACGTGTGGGGGAATAGGTCCTGGCTGTGGTTTTTGCTCATGCACCAAACTACGGTTCAGACTACCCACCCCTTTTGGAGTCCTTGGAGGAGGTGCTGGAGATCGCTCCTTCCTGTGACTGCCTCGTCTGAGTGGGTCATGTTCTGTGCTTCTGTTGTTGAGGCGGCTGACTGAAGCTGCGGCCGCAGGGTCTTCGGTGCCTGTCATGCTAGCAATCCCTTAACCCGCTGGTGGACACCAATGGTTAGGAATGCTGTCAAGTTGAAGAAAGACTCCTATCGGATTTTTTTGACCTGTGGGACTCCAGAGGCAGTTGATGACTTAGTAAGGCTCAGGTGGTCGTAAAGGCAAAATCCCGGGCGTGGGAGGTATTTGGTGAGACTATGGAGCTACCAACACTGTTTATAGTGGGTACGGTGTGCTACTGGCCTCTTCTCAGGACATTGTGGATCGATGGGCAGAGTACTCAATCCCACCGGCATATCTTCCAGTGAGGAAGACCACGGACTATCTCTGGTGCTGAGGTAACTGAAGTGGTCAAAAGCTCCTTCGTGGCAAGGCTGCAGGGGTGGATGAGATCTGCCCAGAGTTTCTTGAGGCTCTGGATGTTGTAGGGTTGTGTTGGCTGACGTGGCACTGCATTATCATGTCAGGAAGTGTTCCAGAGGAGAGGCACATAAGTGGAATTGCTTGAGGTTCGGTGTAAAGTTTCCTCAGTCAGTGTTAGTTTTAGGGTGCCATGTCATCTGCTGGTGTTGGTCCATTGTGTTTTCTGAGGTCCGAGGTCAACGCAGCCATCTACCAGGAAGTTTTATAGCACTTCATGCTTCCTGCTGCTGACCGACATTATGGAAGCAGATTTCATTTTCCAACAGGACATGGCACCTGCACACAGTGCCAAAGTCACCAATACCTGGTTTAAGGACCATGGTATCCCTGCTCTTGATTGGCAAGCAAACTCGCCTGAAATTCTATGGAGTATTGTGAAGAGGAAGATGCAATATGCCAGAACCAACAATTCAGAAGAGCTGACGGCCACTATCAGAGCACCATGGCCTCTTCTAACACCTGAGCAGTGCCACAGGCTGATCGACTCCATGCCACTCCGCATTGCTGCAGTAATCCAGGCCAAAGGAGTCCCGATTAAATATTGAGTGCTTTACATGCTTTTCGTGATCGTACTTTACAGTTGGCCAATATTTCTAAAATTTCGTCTTTTGCATTGTTCTTAATTGATATTCTAATATTCTGAGATATTGATTTTGGGACTTTTATTAGTATCAGTTAAAATCGTCCACAAGAAATAAACATTTAAAATATATCAGTCCGTGTTTTATGAATTACTCAAATATACAAGTTTCACTTTTTGAATGGAATTACTGAAATAAATCGACTTTGTTCAAGATGTTGTAATTTTATGACCAGCACCGGTAATTGTGGGAACTACAGAAGAACAAAACTAAGAAGCATACATTTGTGAGCAGCAGAATGATTTGGTGCCAAGAACGAGTTCCAAAGATGCTTCTTTTGCTTTAAGGATACCAGTGGAGAAGAGCAGAAGGTCAGAGTACTCAGAGAAGAGCTGTTTTGCATGAGGAGGTCTCAAGAGCAGAGAAGTATGTTAAAGTGGTGCAAAGCATGCATCAGAGCTGTGAGACAGCAGAGAGGTATGCTGTAGAAGTGATGAAGAAATCCCAGGTGGAGGTGGAAGTGAATCATGGATCAGCTCTAAGCCCCTTCTTGTTTGCTTTGATGATGGACAGGCTGGCAGATGATGTTAGACAGGAGTCTCCATGGACTATGATGTTTGCAGATACAGTGATCTGACGTGAGAGCAGGGTGCAGGCAGATGACAAGCCAGAGAGTAGGGCTGGGCAATAAATTGAAAAATGATCGTTATCGAAATTTCTGACTCTTATCGTGATAATTTTTTCTATGCCAGTAAATTTGATAATAAAAAAAAACGAAAAGATGTTTGTAGGTTGGCGACGACAGCCCCATCTAGTGGACAACTTTTGTTTGCGCATACCTGTAGTTATCGTCCATTTATCGTTATCAAGGTGAAATCCTCAATATATCGTGATATTTATTTTAGGCCATATCGCCCAGCCCTACCTAGATATATGTACTGGATAAGAAAAGAATGAAGATTAGTCATAAGACATAATCCACGTGTGTAAATGAGAAGGAAACAAGTGGAACGGAGATGTTACAGGAAGTAGAAGTAAATAAGTTGGAGGACTTCAAGTACTTGGGGAGTACAGTTTAAAAGCAGGGGAGGGAGCACGTGCAGCAGGTTGGAATCAGTAAAGAAAAGTGCCAGGTGTTATTAAAGGGTTTCAGCTGTGGAAGACAGAAAAGCCATGTGTGTAGAGACCGTGTCTATGAAGAGAAGACAGGACAATTGGAGGTTGCAGAGCTAAAGATGTTCAGGTTTTGCAGTGATGAGGATGGAAAGGATCAGGAACTACTTATGTTAGGTGACAAAGTCAGAATTTCTTTATCTCAGTTGCACTGATTTGGAAATGAAATGGTTAAATGAGCCTTAATAAATATTACTTATAAACATGAAGTTTAGACCTATTCTAGTTCAAAGGTTAGTATTGTGCGCATGACAAAACTTCATATGGCACTATAATCATTAAGTGGTTCCTAACTCCACAAAGGGTGGTGACCCCTGGTCTAAATAGTACAGAAAAGCAAAAGTAAATCTTATAACTTTGTGTGTTGTGAGGCTTATTTTGGTTGTTATCATTATTAATATTATTATTAGATGTATTTATTTAGTGCCCATAGTGGATCCTATGGGCGGAACCCGGTGTCATCCACCACAGCAGGGGTCGGCAACCTTTTCCCATCAAAGAGCCACTATTATCTGTTCCCCACAGTAAAGAAAACACTGGGAGCCACAGCAGCAATGGCATTGTGGGTCGGCCTACCGGGCCTGGGCCCACGCATTTGCACTTGGGTCCACCTTAAGAAAGCTGAGGGTTGCTTCAACTGATCACAACAGGTGACAGCAACCAATACCGATAGCTCTTGTACGTCAAAGTTATCTTTCAACAGAAGATAGTTAATGAAACAATTTGTATAAAATTGACCCAAAAGTTGTAGCCTGACTGTGCCTACAATATTTTGATGTTTTTCACCCTGTCACTGGTCTTAATAGTTGAGCAGGTGCCGTTTTAGACGTGTCACACGTGTACTTTAAAAACAGGTTTAAACTGTTCCGAATACAAATCGAGGCTTGTTGTCTCGTTGGATTGTTGTAATTAAACTTTGTACTGAACAAAACTTTACATTAATCAATGTCGAAAAGGTAAGAAAATTATCCGATCAATTCGTTTTTTCCTTTATTTGCAGAAAATGGCGTAGAGCGCACGGCTCTGGTGTTAGTCAAGTTTACTTGTTTCTCTTTGCAACAATCTTCACAACAAGGCAAAACAGTTAAATGTTGCGGTTCGCCTTGACCGGAAATTTCCCGTATTTGACCATTTATTTTGACTAAGAAACCTCAAGGCTGCAGATTCGCTGACATGTTAACCGTGACGCACATCGCGGAGGTAGCTAAATCAATCAAGAAAAGATTCCCATTAGAGCCGCACCAGATGGACGAAAGAGCCACATGCGGCTCCGGAGCCGCGGGTTGCCGACCCCTGCACCACAGAGACAGCCTGCTCTTCTAGCACCATGACTTTGATTATTTTTCCAGTTAGTTGCTCAGCCTCACCCTCAGAAGAGGGTCACGCTCATACAGACGATGTTAGTGAGTGCATCTGCGTCTGACTGTTGCTATTCTGAGTCTTTTTATTTCTCCAGTGAGGCATTTTTATGAGCTTTTTCCCATGTGTTTACATCACTCACAGATGGAATAAAAGTTAGGGGGGGATGCCACACAAAGGGTCTCTGCTGGCTACAAATTATGGACGACAGGTAATCAATCGGCTGGTATGATCGGCTCTGAAAGGCATTTATCGTAGTTTGGCGATCACGTTTTTCATGGAGATTGGCCAATTTTGATTGGTGGCCGATCGATTGGAATTTGGAAGGATAATTTTCGCAGCTTTTATTTTTTATTTATGAAGTCATTTTGGTGGACATTCCATATTTTCTGTGTGGCAAAAGAGCACCTCCACATCAGAGGGGAGCTTGTTCATTAGCTCACTCCGCTTTTGTTTCTGGCAAACCTTTAGCTACTTTTTTGTATTTGTGCTGCTAACACTGACCTACAGAGTAATTTCTTAGTAACACATCAGGCGACATCAACAGTTTGATTAAAAGGTCACACCGGTGTGACCAAACTAGCCATAGTTCTGTGTCTGCCTCAGGGTTGCATGTGGAATTGTCCGTTAAAAGTTGTAAAGAAAGCCACAAATCCACCTTTAATGTTGGTCATTACATCAGTAGAGCTTCTTGTATGATTGTCAGATATTTGGAATGTACATTTTGGTGTCTTTAGGATCTGTTTTTGTTTTAAAAGATTTGTTTTTTCATAATATCTCAGCTCCTGCTAAGTCTGGAGCCCATTAAACACTCCTCCCCCTTATGAACACTTTTAACCCCCAACTCTTTTCTATCAAGATGCCATAAAATAAAGTTGTACCTTTTTAGACACCTGTGGATTTTTTCCTTATCAGACAAAATGATGATTATCCCAAATCATCGCCACATTGTAATATGTAAATAGTTTTTCTATAGCAGCTGTGTGCTGTCACTTTGCATACTGTATATTAACAGAATCAGTAACCAAAGTTGAAGGGATTTCCTTTGAGTTTTGCTACATCCTCAAATAGTTTCTTTACATTTTCTTTTTTTGTTGTTGTTTCATGTTGTCAGGTTTTCTTTTTTCATTTTGTAAACAAATGTAAATTATATTTTAATATGAAGCCAAAAAATGAAAAACAAAACAGAAAAGACACTTAACTGGAGCAGCATTTGTCAAGTCCGAACCGTGACGTGTTTGCCTATATACTGTTGTTTGGCGACTTAGTAGTGATTTGCAGTGTTAAAGGGGTTTAGAGGCTGGTTTCCACAACGTATTTCTACACGTTCTGTTTGTCCTCATACACACACAAAAGCCTGCTTATTTCTGTGACTGTAACAATGTTGAAACTCACAACGAATGAATCACCAAGCTGGGACTTTGTGTGAAGGCCAATCGGAGAAGGACCTCAGTCCTAGGGCACAAGATGTTAAAATTAGACATTGGCAATTGTACAGTCACACTTTTTTTTGTGTGTGTGAGAAATTTTAGCGCCTTTGTCATTGTCTTGTCACATAAGCACCAGGATGTTGGCCACCTATCTTCACATTTAACTTGTGTAACAGGTCTGCAGTAACTGATGAACATTTCCATCCTGACCAGACAGTTCTGTGTAAGAATCGAGTCAGTAACACAATGGGTTCTACTGTCATTTCATCTCCCGAGTCATGGGCAGGGGGGGAATGTACTCTTTGTCACTCATTACTGTTCAATGTGGAGAACATATTTAAATGTGTGTATGATGCTGGGTGTGTCCACAAACCTCCCTGTCACTGACTGAACTGTTTTATTTATTGAACTGAGAACAATAGATTCTGTACTTGTGAATGATTTTTCTATTTGGTTCCTTGGTTCAATGTTCCTTGCCTTTCTGCAAGTCAAAAATGCTGTATTTATTACACGCCACAGCGCTTATGCAATTGTATAATCCTTTTGTTGGGGTTATTTGTTTTACTTTGTGTTTTTCTTTTTTTAACCTTTTGTGTTTCTTATGATCAGTGTAAAATGTTGTCAAAACTTTTGTGACAGTGGAAAAAACTTCTAAGGGAGATTTTTCTGTACTTTTTGGACAATGATATGGATTTTTGGGTAGAATTTTGGAAATTCGTTTCTAAGTGCTTTCAAGTATTTACTTGGCCTTATGTATATATATATATCTATGACATTTCAGAAACGTATGTATAGTAATTCAATCGGAAATTGCTGTAAATAAATTATATATTGTTAAATCAAGGGGTTGGATTCCATACTTTAAAAATGCAACTACTTGTGAGTTCACAATCAAAGGCATGTTCTATTGTGGCACCAAGTGTCAGGTTTGGGAGGATGAGCTGACGCAGAGCGAAAGGTCGCTTGTGGCGTGGCTGTATGACCCAGATGCGGAGTAGCTGGCGTTGGGTTGGAAAGCACGCAGCTTTAATCTAGGAACGGAGACACAGCGCTCTGAGAGAGCCGAGACTGTGGCGGTTCCAGAGAAATGAAAATAGCTGACTTACTGGCTGTAGACAGTGTGGAATGATGTCTTCCTTGGTTAGAATGGCTGGAGAGCCTGAGAACTCGGTACCATGTTCGGGAAAAACGATGACCGAGTGACGATTAAGCGAAGGCACTTCCGTAAATAGAATCTGGGTGATGATGTAGTCGGGTCACGCCGGTGATGGGGATGCTGGGTGGTGTGGTTCTCAGGCTAGTTGAGTCCGTGGGGTGTGGTCAAAGAGTTTGTGACACCAAGGCAATAAACTTTTTAATAATTTAACTTTGTGTTGAAAGTTTTGATAATTGCTTCATTATTAACGCTGTTGAAAGAGAAATTTGGGAGAAAATATTAACTCATGTAAAAACATGAAAAAGATAACAAGCATAATTTTTTTAGAGGAGAGTTTGGAATTTAATGTCATCTTGTGGTGAAGTTTTGGACTGCAACATTTTTTTTTTATTCCCACAGCATAGGTTTTCGGGTAGAACTTGGTTTGGTGTTTGTGTAATCATTTTTCCCAATGCTGGTCCTGAGTGAACTGGTCAAAGACATCCCTCTCCCCAAAGGTTTCTGGGTTCTGGGGTCTTTACGCAAGTAATACCCTGAACGGCAATAGAATTTTTTTCTTGTGGCATTTTTTTCTAAAAAATATTATCTCATGACATTTTTGTAAGTTTTTTTTTCTTGCAAAGCCCAAGAAGCAAACAGAACAAATAGTTTTGTTGCAGAATATTTCAAATTTTTTGGTTTATTTTTTGCACAACCTGAGAGGCAAACAGCCAAAATATTTTTTCTTGTGGCATTTTTTTTGCTCATCTGAGCAAGTCAAACATAAATCTGTTTTTTTTCTCCTAGTTTTTTTTTTTTTTTTTTTTTTTGCTTTGCTGACCCCTTTCCATGAAGGAACTCATGCAGGTTTATCAATAATGCGATAAAATGTAAAACTGGTGGTTACAAATGTAGCCAAAAAAATTGAATACAATGTTGCAGTCATGGGGAATCAAACCGGAGTCATGACATGGTAAAATGTTGTCTAAAGCAGTTGCCCTAACCACTTGGCCACAGGCCTAATGTGAGATTTAGGATATAAATCAGATGGACAATCGCACATGTCTTGGGACATACGCACGTGCACTATTTTGTCCCTCAAAGTAGAGTTGAACAGGCAGCATGCATCCCTGAGATCAGGCTGTTCTCTGCTGACTGGAAAAGCTCAGATTCCTGTGGCAATGGTAAATGGCTTTTGAGTCTCTGAAACTACCCCAGTGAATAAAAAATGAGACTCAATTATAAATGGGTGACTTAATTTATGAACTATTAATGTCTAATTTCTCACCTACAATCATCTCTAAACATCTTTTAGTGCCAAATTTATGATAAAATGAATAAATTCTTTGTTTCTGAAATGACCTTCAATGTAGCACTATCTGGTGGACAGAATAGGAATTACAAAAATACACACATTTTTGTTTTCTTCTCTAACATGAGCAAAAAAATTAGCAAACTTTGAAAAATGCCACAAGAATTGTTCTTTTTATTTGTCTCTCAGGCTATGCAAAAAATAAAATAAAATAAAAATGCCACAAGAAAAGATATTTATTTCTGTTGCTTTTCAGGGCTTCTATAGGTCTTCTCCTGGTGGGACATGCTTGGAAAACCTTAATAGAAAGTCGACATGGAAGCATCCCTATCGGATACCAAAATCTCATGTTTGGGTATTATGACCACAGGTGAGTTGGAACGTAGATGAACCAGTAAATCTAGCACCTGAAAATAAGAGAAATGACATAAATGTAGTTAAATTAGGTGCTTGCCCATAAATAGAAAATGCAACCACACCAACTGCTTAAATCCACTGAAAGGGTGAGCTCCTTTAATGGAATGAAAGATCTTTATTAAGAAGAGCAGCACTGATTATAAACTTGCCTTTTACACTTTTATCCCCCCCCCCCCTCAATAACTTACATCAAACTGATCACATGTTGACTATTTTTGAACATGTACAGCTGAAATAGGTTGAATAAAACAATCCATCTAGCCTTCATTGTGAGGATCAGTTGTCTCCAAGACTGTAAACCATGATACTGAGTCAACTTCTGGATGCTGAAAAGGTTAGTAAAACAAAAAATACCTTAATCCAACTGACAGATAATACATATCATTACATAAAAATAAAACAAACCCTGAGCCCCATTGATTAGTTATACTAAATACTTTTATTTGAAAGTTGCTAGAAGTACATTTACAGGCTTGTTCTGCAGCAATATAAATACATGGCTTTAAAGTTTTCTAAGAAATTAAGAAGGTGAGGTCTCTGCATTAGAGGCAAGTAACGCTGGGCCCCACCAGATGGTGCTGTTGCACTCTGCTCACTTTTTTCAGTGAAACAGAATGGTTCGTTTTAGAGTAATATATTGTAAAACCCCATTAAGTCACTAAGAAAATTCTGGGTTTGGGTATGTGTAACAGTGTTTTTGCCATGTTATTGATAAGCTTAGCGGGTTAACACCAGAACTCGCAGCATTTTCTGACTAAGACTAAAGCCGTATATATACTTCTCCGTCTGTGTCGGAACGGACACATGCATTAACATTATGCGTTGCCCAAAATTTTAACTATCCGGCGGAAGAGCCTGCAAGCAAGAGACTGCGAGGTTGTGTTTGGTCAGGACACTGCTTCCTGTTTTCATTTGTCAACAGCATCATCTTTTCTGTTTCAAAAATCAAAGCGGTATTTTGCAGCAGACATTGAAGAATGCATCGCGGAAAAAGTCTGAAAATATGAATGTGACTGAAGGAGTAGAAACATGCAGCAAGTGTTTTATTCATGGACGGAAAAGACGAGAAACGTGAGTTTAGAGGTGCCGATTGCATGAAGATGTGAAGAGGAATGAGGGACAAATCTGTCCACATTAAAAAGTCTCTGAAATACATTAAAACAATGTAAAGTATAGCGCTACTCCCTCTGTTGTCCTGGCAGGGAATTGTTTTGTAATAATCCCCAGCTGACGGAGAAATCTGAAAGCAAAACGTCTCTGTCAATGCGTATGTGTCTCTTCCTAGCAAAGCTGACGGAGAAGTAACAATTGGGCTTAAGCTTGGTTTATGCTTGACGCATTCACTTTCCGCGCGGTGATGCGGCTCTCGGATGGAACGCGCTTCACAACTCGCAGCGTTTATGGTTCATGCGGCTCGTCTCTGCGGTGAGCCAATATTCTCCCAAACTGAACGGGGCAGCTTGGAGCTCTACGGCATGCATCCAACACTACACCATAGTAGAAGTAGAAATGACTGTTTACAACATGGCATTTCAGCAGACAGTGCGAGCTATTTCTCTCCAAGAATTATTAACAACATGTTGATCACAGTGTTCTTTGAGAGCTGAATCATACAAATGTCTGTATTTACGAACCTCTGCCGTACTAGTTCTTGCCAGTCCGCCATGTTTTTCCGCGTCCGACCGTCCGCGTGGTTAGAAAATTTCCTAGGTGCGCGTTGCAGAAATATTGGGCCATGCGGAGATGCGGTGGAGGGGCGTGGTTGTTAAAATGACGCAATTTCGCCGCGCGGACCTCGCGGACGCGTCAAGCATAAACCAACCTTTAAATCACTGACAATTAGCAGCCTTTCAAAGTGCAGATGATGACCCGCAATGGAATGTCCCCGGGTGTTGGAGGCCGTCAAGTCTTTCAGGCTGGACTCTACTTGTCTCCTCTATCTTGAATCGAGTCCACTGAACTTGTTTACCCTAAGGAAATTATGACCAACAACTTTTGCAAAGACCACAGAAGCCCACAAAGAACTAGAAAGGATTTTTATATGGCGCTTCTCAAAATAAAAAAAATCATGAGGCACTTCAGAATAATTTTAAAAGATCATAATAACAATAAGAATAAAAATGAAATAAAATGAACATGGAAGCCTGAAAAAAAGTGGAATTTATCATGTCCTGTGTTCTATTTTTCCCCTTTCCCAACGTGTCCTTGTGTTTCCTGTGCCTCTACTATCTTTCACCATTCATACTCACCCCTTTTACAGTTACAGCGATTTCCAGCCTCTTAGTTTTATTTTCAGTTTTTACTTTCTCTTTCTTATTTTTTCCTTTTTATTTTTTTTCCTTATACTTCTTTGTGTCTAGTCATTTGGACATGAGAACTTGTCCACCCAAAGGTGTTTATGAAAGCTTCACATAAGCATATAAGCTGTGAATGCTTCATAGACTTTAAAGCAAGAATGTCTAAACTTTTAGAGATGAATGGCTAAAATTATTGAGTTATTGAGGAGTGTGTTCAGATGAAAGACCGTAGCGCATCTTTCCTGTTGGAGAAGTAAACACTGGTGAGTGACCCTTTATTTGCAATCTCATATCTGAAAGGGATATTGTTGAATTAAATTTAAATATTTGTATCTCCACTGTGTAGGTTAGTGCTGTTTTTGAGGTTTTTATAATATGGATCAAAGTCAGATTGCATGCATAAATTAGTTGCGTGTGTGTGTGTGTGTGTGTGTGTGTGTGTGTGTGTGTGTGTGTGTGTGTGTGTGTGTGTGTGTGTGTGTGTGTGTGTGTGTGTGTGTGTGTGTGTGTGTGTGTGTGTGTGTCATAGCTGTGGTGTTTTTGTGCCCCACCTATCAAATTATGCCAGAGACGCCACTGGGATGGTTTGACACCTAAATATTTCACACAGTTTCAATGAATTTGTCTCATTGCAGGATTGTGAATGTTCTTCATTTATCACTCAAATCTGACAGTGTAATGATTTCTACACCTATTTAGGTTTAAGCTCTAAGAGGATCAATTCTTCACTATATATATATATATATATATATATATATTTTTTTTTTTTTGGTGAAGAGGGAGTCCACTTGAGCAGAAACCCAGCCACCATGTTTCTTCTCAACAGCAAAGGTTCTGCAGTGAGAAAAGTGATACACAAAAAGCATAAAAGTGGATAATGCTATAAGTCTTGAGTACAAAAAAGTCTGCAACGTGGAAGAAAGAAGTTTGTGCTGAACTCTGAGGCTGGCAAAATGGGAGGTGTAGAGTTTGTCAGAGGGTGGGGAGGGATAAAAAGGAGGTGGAGGGAGAAGCGTTTCTTCCTCTGAAGATGTAGCTGGCTCTCTTACACTTGAGCGAAAGCATGGCCTTTGCACAGGGGCTTATCCTTTTTGGAGTAGAACGTCTTCCCCTCCAAGTTGATTTGGCAGAGCTTTAACGATGAAAAGAGACAGACAGAGAAACAGATTGAGAAACCAAGACTGAGCAGATATCAGGCTTCACCAGTGCCTACATGAATTTGCACAGTTTTCAGCAGACCAGACCTAGTCATTATTTATTTGGATTGTATTCACTCCTCACAGAGAAACAGGTGTACAGCAGGTAAGGGGTTAAAGGAGAAATGGAAGCTTGTGGTTCCCAGTACCAGGCAGGTTGTTCAGGTGTACTGCGACAGACACAAGAGATACAGGCCAAAGAGAGCCCAAAAGAAAGGATATTTATCAAAATGACTTACAGCACAGACGAAGCATGTGTCATGCCAGCTGTAGCCCAAGGCCTCCAGGAAACGATCACCGGCATCAATCTTGAAGTCGCATCCGTGGCATTTGGTGCCGAACATTTTTTCATAGTCTGCAGAGGAAATACAACCAGATTATTCACATTCAAAATCTGTTTTATCAAATGATCAGGTGGAGACGTCTCTGTGACCTCTGCTCACATCTGTTCCCTACAGGAAGTTCTGATGAACAGAATATGAAGCAGCCTGGACTTTGTGCAGTTAAAAGATGAAATCTCCCAACACAAAGCCACTCCAGTGCCCAAAATGAAGTGGTGATGAGGGATGAAGCTGCACTAATTTTGACAAGCTCCTCCAGCGGGGATGTGTGGAGTTCACTGTGCAGCAGCAGCTCCTTCCCACAGTTTAAGGGGAGGATTAGGACGAGGGGAAATTGCTCCTAATACTTGACTTGCTTTGCCGGACTCTTTCATCATGAGAACTCTGGGAAAGTGTTGGGTTATAATGCTCACTCTGAAGGGGGGGGGGGGGGGGGGGGGGGGTGAGAGCTGTACAATCCCTTCAAGATGCTGAGGCAGCAAAATGTTTATCAGAGCTGAAGGCATTACTCAGAATATGAGGACTCGGGTTACTGGCTTCTGCTTTGATAAAGCAGCAGTTCACATCAGAGCCTCCACTCCTACCTCAAAAAATAAACAAATCATCTACAGTATAATGGAAGAGCACACACACTATTCACAATAGCCAAAATAAATAATGTACGGAATAAACTGACTTTCGACACATTGCAGTAGATGAAAAACATGACACAGGCTCACAGCATGCATGCCCACAGCAATGCGGCAGACGTGTTTAACTACACTCTGAAATAACGGCAAGGCAGCTTCATTTATAGAGCACATTTAAAACAGAGGCAATTCAATGTGCTTTACAATTAGCAGGACATGATATAAAAACACAGATTAAAACACACACAGATAGAATTACAGTTTAGAGCTAAAGGAGAAGACAAAGTTACATGCAGGTTACAGTGGAGATGACGCAACATAAACAATGATTTCAAAATGCTGATGAGTGCATTAGGGTTTTAGTTTAGTTTTAAACAGCACTAGGGTTGGGGAAGATCTGAGGTCATGGGGAAGCTGATTCCATATGTGAGCAGCATAGTAGCTAAATGCATCTTCACCATGTTTGGTTCTGACCCGAGGTTCTACCAGCTGATTGTTCCCTAAGGATCTCAGAGCCCTATTGGGTGTGTACACAGAATGAGATCTGACATGTATTTTGGTCCCATGCCATTGAGTGATTATAAACTAGTAGGAGTACTTTGAAATCTATTGTGTAGTTTACTGGTAACCAGTGTAGGGATCTAAGAACAGGAGTGATGTGCTCCGTTCTCTTAGTTCTTGTTAACACTCTAGCAGCAGCATTCTGAACAAGCTGCAGTTGCTTTGCTGTAGTCTGACTAGAAATAAAAGCATGAATGAATTTCTCTAAGCCTGGTCTGCACATGAGACCTCTGACTCTTGATATTTGATGAAGGTGATAAAACGCTGATTTAGGTTTTGCCTCAATATGTCCAGAGAAGCTCAGGTCAGGGTGAATAATGACTCTAATCTGGGTTTTTGTCCTTATTCCCCTGGAGTCTAGCTAAGCAATAACATCCATTCTATCCTTCTTGTTAAAAGCCACATATTGATTTGAGCTACTTAGTTATGTGGGTTAATCAGCAACAAACCATTTACTTTCAGTTAACAAACTGTTATGAGAGGCTTATTTTGATAAAACTCTTAATTTATGTTAATGTTAGAATTGCAGCATGGTAATAAGCTTTCACTGACTGTAGTGAAATCCTCTGATGCATTCATGCTGCTCAGTACCAGAACAGTACTGATGTCACTAGTTACCAAAATAACCAATCATCTTGCAGAGCTGCTGTTGAGTGTGTGAGTGTACAGAACTTGCAAAACTATGTGACTCAATTTAAGGAACAAAGTTGAATCAAGCTGCTGTTACTTGTTTGTTATTGATGTTTATAGAAACTAAATATATCTGCAGGGCTTTAGGCTCAGGGCAGAGTTTTATACCTCAGACCGACTCACTTTAGATCCAGACCTGTTAATACTATTATCATGTATTCTTTACACCAATCAGAATATTCTGTAATGTTCACAGACATCCAAACCTTAGAAATGAAATAAAATCTACATTAAAATAAAAAATGATTACTATTATTTTTTATTAAAAGATTAGTTATTTGTGAATACTTTTTATATTTGATATTGTCCAGTTTAAACAGACATCTGTTTATATCAGAGCTGAGCTGTGGGAGAAAATACTCAGGCTTATTTTATCGTATTTTCTATTATCTTTGGGTTTTGTGCATTCACTTAATATCAATTATAACATTATAAATAACAAGTCACTACAGTCTGGGCATAGAACGTGTTTCTATGAACTAAAGCTTGTTGGGTTAGGGTTAGCAGCAGCTCACCTCTTCCTATCACACTGACAGGAGAAATCCCCTCGTCAGCATCAGGCGGTCTATAGAGTGTCATGACTGAACCTCTCATTGTTACACCAGAGCTCGTCTCCATTGGCGCTAATTAGTGCGACTAGATTCTACAAAGATTTCATAAATAAACGCACAACTTAGATCTGTGGCTCGTATTTAACCAAAACCAGAGTGCACTATGGGAGCAAGACACCAGCTCCCGTGCAACACGTGATCAAATGGGAAGAGTCAAAGATTATACAGGAGTCAAGAGCAATTCCTGAATGTAAAAAATTGTAGTTTTTCTAGATAAATGTGGAGCAGAGTTTTTAACCTGAAGATGGAGATATAATTACGGTTGTGGGCTGAAATATTAAATTTGAAGTAAGTTGAACTTAACTGTGACACTAATGATTACACATGTCTACAGCACCATTACGACACTCATCTATACTGGTTATCAGCAAATAAAAAAAAAGGTAACACTTTAGCTTAGGGAACACAAATTAACCATTAATTAGCTGCCAATTAATATGCGTATTAGTGGACTACTAAGTCTGAACTTGTCATTATTAAGCATTTATTAACTGCTTATTACTAATGCCGTAATTTTTGAATGCTGTAAAGTGATCCTGTTTCTCTTTATAGTTCAGCCTAATGACTCCTTACAGCTCCTCGTTGAATGCTGCAATGATGTGAAGAGCTGGCTGTCAGAAAACTTTCTTTTGCTGAACGATGCCAAGACAGAGGCCATCATTTTCAGCCCTAGGACTTCTCAAAGTCCCCAACTGACCCTTCCTTTTATCACAAGTGGGTTGAAAACCCATGTCACAAACTTAGGGGTTGTGATGGATGCAAAACTAAAAATGGACATTCATGTCAACCAGGAAGTTAAGACCTGTTTTTACCACCTGAGGCGTCTCTCTAAAGTTAAGTCCATTTTAAAAAGGCGTCATCTCCATTCAGTTGTCCATGCTTTCATTACCTCCCGTCTCGACTACTCTAACTCAGTGCTATATGGTATCTCCTCCTCCACTCTCGCTCGCCTTCAGCTTGTGCAGAACGCAGCAGCTCGATTCTTGACTGGCACCAGGCAGCGAGAACACATCACACCGGTTTTAGCAAATCTCCATTGGCTACCCATCCATCTCCGGATAGAGTTTAAGATCCTGGTTTTTGTGTTTAAATCCCTCAATACCTTAGCACCTGGCTACTTGTCTGAGCTCATTCACCCTTATGTCCCTAAACGATCCCTCCGATCAGCTGACCAGCGCTTCCTACATGTCCCTAGCTCCTGCTGTAAATCCCGCGGGGAGCACGCCTTTTCAGTTTGTGCACCGAAGCTCTGGAACCACTTGCCCCTCCTGATCAGACTCTCGTCCTCTCTTTCCCTTTTTAAGTCTCGTTTAAAAACTCACTTTTATTCGTTGGACGTTAATTCAGTCTAACTTATTCTCTTTCTCCTTTTCTTTTCGATTTGAATGACTCAATTTTAATGGATTCACTTCTTTGTGCGTGTGCGCGCGCACGTCTTCACAAAGCGGAGCACTGACTCCTCTCAGACATGCGGAAGTTGAACTCATCATATTTTAGAAATTAAATAGATGTGTTGCTGTTTAACACGTTTACTAGAAATCTTAAAAAACATAAAATGAAAACTTGGAGCTGCATTACATGCGTATGTGAATGTGTCTCACCTCTCTCACAGTATGGCTCACCCTCCTCCATGTAAAAAGCCTGATTCCGGATGGGAACTTTGCAGGCAGCACATTTAAAACATTGAACATGGTAGGTCATCTTCAGAGCGTGCATGATCTCCTGAAAACAGAAGTTTCACATGTTTATCTTTTTCCTTTTCTGGTCAAGCTAACTTTCTGGTTTGAAGTTTTCTGAAAGAACAGAAAAGAAAAAAATAGCAGCTCTTACTCCAGAAATCTTCTTCTTGCACTTGGCACAGGTCGAAGCATATCGGTTATCATGGCACTTTGTGCAGTAGACAGATCCTCTCTCCTCGAAGAAGCCCCCTTCCTCCAGAACTGCCTTACACTGAGAGCATGTAAACTCCTCTGGGTGCCAGGACTGACCCAGGGCCACCAGGTACCGACCCCTGGAGAAGATGAAAACACACAATTTTTATTTAATTATTTATTTAACCAGGTGAGAGACTCATTGAGATGTCAACTCTCATTCACAAAAGTGACAGGGGCCTTATTCATAAAAACAGGGTCTGAAAACTGCATAATTCAATTCAATTCAATTCAATTTTATTTATATAGCGCCAAATCACAACAAGAGTTGTCTCAAGGCACTTCACATAACAAACATTCCAATTCAGGTCAGTTCATTAAGCCATTCAAATTGCAGCAATCCTCATACTAAGCAAGCATAAAGCGACAGTGGAGAGGAAAACTCCCTTTTAACAGGAAAAAACCTCCAGAGAATCCTGGCTCAGTATAAGCAGCCATCCTCCACGACTCACTGGGGATGGAGAAGACAGAACAGGCACACACACACACACACACACACACACACACACACACACACACACACACAAAGACGAAGTAATTTGTCTATAGTTATATTGTGATTTCTTAGTAAATATTCTATTTGGTGAGAGATAAACTTTATTGTATGTATCCTAGTGGATCTAAAATTAAACGGATAAACTAGTAGTAGCACATCCAGCGTCAAGGAAAGCAAAAAGTTATTATCAGGAGAGGGAGAATGTTTAAGTGGTTAGCAGCAGTGTGCTAGATGATAGCCCCCTCCATGAGGCCACCACAGCTCAGCAGAACATCATTGTAGCTTCTTGTGGGGAGAAAAACACTTACCCCGGCTTTCCACAGCAGCCGTCAGCAGCACGTTACTGCAGCAGCACGTCATAGCTGCTGATAGGAACGGCTGTGGTCAACAGAACCTTTTCCACAGGAGCCGTCAGCAGCGCGAGTCGGCCGCGTCTCAGGAGCAGCATGTCGCGGCCTTTACGCGCCGGTTCTATTTCCTACGCGCGACGCCTCTGAAACGGGTCAAGTTCGACATTTTTGGGGAAGGAAAGACAGGAAATCGGACGCGGAAATGGAGAGAAGCTCTCGAGATTTTCAGAATAAAGAACGTACTGCCTTCCGGTCGCTTTACTTTAAAAAAGGTTACTAACTGTGCGGCCCCGTGAGAAGTTATCACCTAGCTAGCGGTCTCCTTTGTTTTTCAGGTCCGTATTGGCGATTATAAAACGGACAGAATATAAAAACACAAACATTTTGGAGCCATGTTGTAGTTTTCTCCTGCTTGTTGTTGTGTTTACTGACGAAGTCACTCGTGTGACTTCGTGCCCTGTCGGTGACAGCTGCTCCTCTGCTGCGTCGCGTCTCGTGGGAAGGGCTACGCAGCAGCTAGACGTGCTGCTGCAGTAACGTGCTGCTGACGGCTCCCGTGGAAACCCGGGGTTAGAGAGAAAATAAAGTTAACAGCTGAAATTGCAGAAAATAATACAGTTAAAGAGCAGATTGTAGAATAAAGTAGTAGTGTGTGAAAAGTGGTCAGTGTATCCTCCAGCAGTCTAAGCCTATAGCAGCATAACTACAGAGATAACTCTGGATAATCTATCCTATTTAGATGGAGGCATGTTGGAGGCAGGGCAAGGGAGAGCCGTCTTTACCGACTGTACACTCCACCTCCCTCTACTCCCCCACTTGTCCAGATTCAGGGTAACATCAGATTTTAACCATAGGCCCTATCAAATAAAAATGTTTTAAGCCTATTCTTAAAAGTAGACAAGGTGTCTGCCTCACAGACTAAAGGTGGGAGCTGGTTCCACAGGAGAGGAGCCTGATAACTAAAAGATCTGCCTCCCATCCTAATTTTAGATACTCTGGGAACCACCAGTAAACCTGCAGTCTGCGAGCGAAGTGCTCGGTTAGGAACGTATGGAACAATCAGATCACTGATGTATGATGGAGCTTGACTATTAAGAGCTTTATATGTGAGAAGAAGGATCTTAAAATCTATTCTGAATTTAACAGGTAGCCAGTGTAGGGAAGCTAAGACAGGAGAGATATGATCTCTCTTTTTAATTCTCATCAGAACTCTAGCTGCAGCATTTTGGACTAGCTGAATACTTTTAACTACATTCTGTGGACTTCCTGAGAGTAATGAATTACAGTAATCCAGTCTTGATGTAATAAATGCATGAACTAGTTTTTTCAGCATCACTCCTGGAAAGTATGCTTCTAATCTTAGCAATATTCCGAAGGTGGAAAAAGGAAATCCTACAAACCTGTTTAACCTGGGATTTGAATGACATGTCCTGGTCAAAGATAACACCAAGGTTCCTTACTTTGTTCTCGGAGATTAATGTAAGGCCATTCAGGTCAGGTGATTGGCTAAGCAATTTTCTTTTCTGGATTTCTGGTCCAAAGATGAGAACTTCCGTCTTGTCTTGATTTAAAAGCAAAAAGTTTAGAGTCATCCAATTTTTTATGTCCTCAAGACAAGCCTGTAATCTACCCAACCGATTAGGGTTCATCAGGGTTAATGGATAAATATAACTGAGTATCGTCAGCATAACAGTGGAAGTTTATCCCATGCTGTCTAATGATTTTACCAATTGGGGGCATATATATAGTAAAAAGAATTGGTCCAAGCACTGAACCCTGTGGTACTCCACAAGTAACCCTGGAGTATGAAGACAATTTGTCATGTACATTTGCAAAATGAAATCTGTCAGACAGGTAGGATTTAAACCAGCCTAACGCTGTTCCTTTGATCCCTACAACATGTTCAAGTCTTTCTAAAAGAACATTGTGATCAACTGTGTCAAAGGCAGCACTGAGATCTAACAAGACTAGAACAGACACAAGATTCTTATCTGAGGCCATGAGAATATCATTTGTAACTCTCACTAACGCAGTTTCAGTGCTGTGATACTCTCTAAAACCAGACTGAAATTCCTCAAACAGAGCATTAGTGTTTAATTGCTCACATACTTGGATGGCCACTATTTTCTACAGGACTTTGGATAAAAATGGAAGGTTAGATATTGGTCTATAATTCAATGGGTCATCTGGATCCAGAGAAGGCTTCTTAAGTGAAGGTTTGATTACAGCAACCTTAAAATCCTGTGGTACATATCCATTTACTAAGGATAGACTGATTATATCTAGAATGGGGGCAGTAACCAAAGGAAATGCTTCTTTAAATAATTTGGTTGGGATTGGATCCAAAATGCAAGTTGAAGGTTTAGATGAAGCTAATATTTTTGATAACTCTGAAAGCTCAACTGGATCAAAATGGTTCAAGCACAGATTAGGTTCCACAGTCACCTCTGATGCTGCCTCACTTACTGAGGAAGAAGAAATCACATTAGGGAGGATGCTAAAGATTTTGTTTCTAATATAATTATTTTTACTTGTAAAAAATCCCATGAAGTCATTGCTGCTGAGGGCTAAGGGAATAGATGGCTCAGAGCTATGATTCTGTGTAAGTTTAGCAACTGTACTGAAACTAAATTTAGGATTATGCTTATTCTCCTCAATTAATGCTGAGAAATAAGCAGTTCTAGTTTGTCGAAGCTTATTTTTATAAAGCACAAGACTATTTTTCCAGGATAGGTAGGCCTCCTCATGGTGCGTAGAGCGCCATGTTCTCTCCAATTTCCTAGAGTTTTGTTTTAAGGCTCGTAAATGAGAATTAAACCAGGGAGCCAACTTCCTGTCCCTAATTACCTTCTTTTTAAAGGGGCAACATCATCTAATGCCACACGTAAAGAGGAATTAACATGATGAACTAAGGCATCAATTTGTGAGGTGCTAGAACTGAAAATATTGCCCTCTGTTACGTTCCTCTGAGATGCTGAGGACAGTAAAGATGGAACAGTTGATTTAAAAGATGAAACTGCTTTGTCAGATAGAGACCGACTATAGTGAAATTTACTTTCATGTCTCGAGAACTCAGTTATAAAAAACTCTAAGGTTATCAGAAAGTGGTCCGAGAGCACTGGATTATGTGGAAAGATTGTTATTTCCTCACACTCTATGCCATAAGTCAGCACAAGGTCTAATGTATGATGGCAGGAGTGGGTGGAGCTATGTATTCTTTGAGTAAAACCAATTGAGTCTAAGATATTACTAAAGGCTACATTGAGGCTATCATTTTCAATGTCCACATGAATATAAAAATCCCCCACTACAATGACCTTATCAGTATTTAGCACCAAGTCTGATAAAAAATCAGAGATCTGATCCAAAAACACAGCGTAAGGGCCTGGTGGATGATATAAAACTACAAACAAGAGTGGTTTTACAGTTTTGCAATCTGGATTAGGAAAATTAAGAAAAAGATGTTTGAACGAACTGTAGCTATTAATTGGTAAGGGATTGATTAATAAGTCCAAATGAAAAATAGTTGCTACTCCTCCTCCTCGCCCTGTACTTCGAGCAATATGATGATTTAAATAATTTGAAGGAGTCGACTCATTTAAGCTAACATAGTCCTCTCGCTGCAGCCAGGATTCTGTGAGAGAGAGCAAAGAAATCTGATTATCACAAATCAAGTCATTATTTTTTTTTTTTTTTTACCGTGTCCTGTCTGGCTGTGAAGCAAGCAGAATTGATGTCTGAATGCTGGTAACAAGACTAGACAGATTTACTCTCAGGTGGAGCATTAAAGCGTCTGCTTTTAATGTCACGCCTGATACTTAAAACTTTATTGTTATTGTTTTTGAATGCTTTGTAATTCCGACCAGACACGGAGACAGAGGTGAAAGAGAAAGGAAAAGAAAAGGTGGGGAGAGAGGGGGGGTGGGGTTCCACAAAAATAAACAATAATGAACAAGAGTCTGCTTCTAGACCTGCAGAAAAAGACAAAAAAAAAGCAAAAGGACAAAAAAAAGGGACACAACAACAATACAACAAGTTCAAGCTATCACTGTGTCAACTTGATGAAGAAATATATAATCAACATTGCTTAACTGAAGAATCACGATAATAAATCACAGTGCATTAAGTGCCCATCATAGTCTTAAGACCTGTGTTTAACGTGCCCAAACCCATACTTTTGAGAGCACCATGTGAGCACCTGTGTGTGTACATGCGCTTGTTTATGTAAGGTTTC